CCTAGATAGGAAAATTACAGCCCAGGTCAGGAAATTTTGCCACCGGTTGTTTTATTTCAAAATGAAGATTGGCTCTTATGAATTCTATCTGAGCTAGCAGGCTGAACACTCAAAGAGACTGATATGCTTACACCTAAACCTTATTTTGTGGAAGAAGACAGGAGGAAAATGAGGATACTAAAAGGTGGGCCTGTTTAAAGCATCAAAATTTATGGGTTTTTAGAAATCCAAATCATATCTTTCTATTATTTACTTATTAGAATCTTGCCATTATTAATAGGCCCAGCCTATTCTCTCCTTCTCCTGGAATACTTGACTGACTTCCATCCTGAAACTCCATTCCTTACCCCAGCCCTGCAGGATCCCTAACTTCTGTTATGAAATCTTGCGACTCTAAATATGGCATTCTTAGACCCTTATCACATATATGTTGCCACATATTTGAGGCAACTGCACATTGTCTTAGCTGGTTAACTAGATCCTAAAAAGCTGTTGGGAGGTGGCACCAATGCCTTTACTATCAGCCCCCTCCCACACTTTTCCCCTCATTGTCTCCTCCTAATCTGTATTTGATGCACTGGTCTTCATTTAGCAGTTATTCAATAAATGTTTGCTGAATGGAGTGTGAGGGAAAAGAGCATCATGATAAACTCTAGAGAAACCAAAAGCAAATAGGAAAAATTTCATAAAATAAACAAACAAAGCATTACCCCCATATTCTGCCAGACCTTGGAGTACAGAATAAAAAGATAAAGCAGAGGTAATCTATTTTGGTCTGTGGTCAACATGCCTGACTTAATGCAAATTAAGATTAATTTACTCTTTTCCCCCTTATATTTTCCCCAACGTGCTTAGGAATATTTTCACCATAGCTATCCTCATACAAAGCCACTAAAGATTACTTTTCATTCTAGTTTGGTGAAAAATGCCAGTGGTAGTTTGATAGGGACGGCATTGAATCTGTAGATTGCTTTGGGTAGTGGAGTCATTTTCACAATGTTGATAATTCCAATCCAAGAACATGATATATATCTCCATCTATTTGTATCATCTTTAATTTCTTTCATCAGTGTCTTATAATTTTCTGCATACAGGTCTTTTGTCTCTTTAGGTAGGTTTATTCCTAGATATTTTATTCTTTTTGTTGCAATGGTAAATGGGAGTGTTTTCTTGATTACACTTTCAGATTTTTCATCATTAGTGTATAGGAATGCCAGAGATTTCTGTGCATTAATTTTGTATCCTGCTACTTTACCAAATTCATTGATTAGCTCTAGTAGTTTTCTGTTAGAGTCTTTAGGTTTTTCTATGTATAGTAACGTGTCATCTGCAAACAGTGACAGCTTTACTTCTTCTTTTCTGATTTGGATTCCTTTTATTTCTTTTTCTTCTCTGATTGCTGTGGCTAAAACTCCCAAAACTATGTTGAATAAGAGTGGTGAGAGTGGGCAACCTTGTCTTGTTTGTGATCTTGTGGAAATGCTTTCAGTTTTTCACCATTGAGGACGATGTTGGCTGTGGGTTTGTCATACATGGCCTTTATTATGTTGAGGAAAGTTCCCTCTATGCCTACTTTCTGCAGGGTTTTTATCATAAATAGGTGTTGAATTTTGTCAAAAGATTTCTCTGTATCTATTGAGATGATCATATAGTTTTTCTTCTTCAATTTGTTAATATGGTGTATCACCTTGATTGATTTGCATATATTGAAGAATCCTTGCATTCCTGGAATAAACCCCACTTGATCAGAGCTAGAACAAAAAATTTCACAGTTTGCATGGAAACACAAAAGACCCCGAATAGCCCAAGTAATCTTGAGAACTAAGAAAAAGGAGCTGGAGGAATGAGGCTCCCTGCCTTAAGACTATATTACAAAGCTACAGTAATCAAGACAGTATTGTACTGGCAAGAAAACAGAAATATAGACCAATGGAACAGGATAGAAAGCCCAGAGATAAACCCACACACATATGGTAACCTTATCTTTGATAAAGGAGGCAGGAATGTACAGTGGAGAAAGGACAGCCTCTTCAATAAGTGGTGCTGGGAAAACTGGGCAGGTACATGTAAAAGTATGAGATTAGAACACTCCATAACACCATACACAAAAATAAGCTCAAAATGGATTAAAGACCTAAATGTAAGGCCAGACACTATCAAACTCTTAGAGGAAAACATAGGCAGAAAAATCTATGACATAAATCACAGCAAGATCCTTTTTGACCCACCTCCTAGAGAAATGGAAATAAGAACAAAAATAAACAAATGGGACCTAGTGAAACTTCAAAGCTTTTGCACAGCAAAGGAAACCATAAACAAGACCAAAAGACAACCCTCAGAATGGGAGAAAATATTTGCAAATGAAGCAAGTGACAAAGGATTAATCTCCAAATTTTACAAGCAGCTCATGCAGCTCAATAACAAAAAAAAAACCCAATCCAAAAATGGTCAGAAGACCTAAATAGACATTTCTCCAAAGAAGATATACAGATTGCCAAGAAACACATGAAAGAATGCTCAACATCGTTAATCATTAGAGAAATGCAAATGAAAACTACAATGATATATCATCTCACACCAGTCAGAATGGCCATCATCAAAAAATCTAGAAACAATAAATGCTGGAAAGGGTGTGGAGAAAAGGGAACACTCTTGCACTGCTGGTGGGAATGTGAATTGGTACAGTCACTATGGAGAACAATATGGAGGTTCCTTACAAAACTACAAATAGAGCTACCATATAACCCAGCAGTCCCACTACTGGGCATATATCCTGAGAAAATCATAATTCAAAAAGAGTCATGTACCAATATGTCCATTGCAGCTCTATTTACAATAGCCAGGACATGGAAGCAACCTAAGTGTCCATCACTGGATGAATGGATAAAGAAGATGTGGCACATATATACAATGGAATACTACTCAGCCATAAAAAGTAACAAAATTGAGTTATTTGTAGTGAGGTGGATGGACCTAGAGTCTGTCATACAGAGTGAAGTAAGTCAGAAAGAGAAAGACAAATAACGTATGCTAACACATATATATGGAATCTAAGAAAAAAAATGTAATGAAGAACCTATGGGTAAAATGGGAATAAAGACACAGACCTACTAGAGAATGGACTTGAGGCTATGGGGAGGGGGAAGTGTAAGCTGTGACAAAGTTAGAGAGTGGCATGGACATATATACACTACCAAACGTAAAATAGATAGCTAGTGGGAAGTAGCCGCATAGCACAGGGAGATCAGCTTGGTGCTTTGTGACCAGCTAGAGGGGTGGGATAGGGAGGGTGCGAGGGAGGGAGATGCAAGGGGGAGGAGATATGGGAACATATGTATATTTATAACTGATTCACTTTGTTATAAAGCAGAAACTAACACACCATTGTAAAGCAATTATACTCCAATAAAGATGTTAAAAATATCCATTCATTTAGTTTTGAAAGATTTTCTCTAAATACCAGTTGAAATGAGTGTATTACTTTCAGTTCTTACTGAAGTGTTTATGAAAAAAAAAAAGATTACTTTTGGCAGTTCAGTTTTCCCATCTTGGTGTCTCTTCAGTTTTCCTTTGTGACCTGCTCCCACCATCTACTTCTGTCTTTTGAATTCTAATTAACTCATTCACACCAAGGTTTTTAAGTCAGTATATTTGTAAGAGAGCATCAGGATTTGAAAATCAAGACTTCAGGAAGAAGGGAATGCTTACCTCCAAAGGGCTGGTGTTTCAGGCATTTGTGAAGGAAGCATTTTGAAACAGAGAGCCCTACAGGTGCTCTGTATATCATACAGGTATGTCCTGGTGTGAGGCTGGATCTGCACTAACATACTTCTTTCTCCTATGGCCACTGTGAAAACTTCCCTCACTCTGATCTAAAGATACTACTCAAGTCTTGGGAATTGCCTTCAGCTGCCTCTTGTTCATCTTCCAGTGGTGCTGATGGTGGTAGTGGTGGTGGGGTGTTAGGTGCCTAATACAGTGTGGTGCTGTGCTCTGGGACTCTGAAGCTACTTGGAACACCATCTTTAAGAGGCTGTGGCTATGAGTCTGGGCTACAGGAAACCAGCCCCTTTTCACTCAGTCCTCCCTAAACACTGAGAGGAAATGGGTGCTTTCCTGTACTTCCTGGTCACAAGGACTCTGAGGGGAATGGGGAGTTGGTGGATAGGAAATGGTTAGTTAAGTATCTCCAAACCTCTTAAGGAATATTTATTTCATTATCAGGAGTTTGGAGGTTTAAACATAAAAGAATACCCTAGGCAGATGTCTTCCCCACCTTGACCTCTCCTATTGGGAGCTACCTAAGGGACATCCTTAGATAGGGTGTGTCCACTTTCATACTTGAACACAATAACTGAGAGTCTGTGAGAAAGGATAATAGTGAAGATTGCAGTGATTGACTGTCTATGGATGGGAACAGGGGCACCTAGTTTCAGCAAAGGGCTTCATAAGCAAATAGGCTGTATACCACAAACTCAAAGCTGAGTTCAACCACAGGATTGGAAGACAATACACTGTGGCCCTATAAATAGAAACGAGAATTTCTGTGTTGTGTGAAGCTTTGCAGGCTGGAGTGGTAGCCCTGCATCATTAATCAGAAAGAGAGAGAGAGAAAGAGAGAGAGAGGAAGAGAGAGAGAGAGTGAGCATTAGCTCAAGTTACCCCTGGAAAACGGAAATGTTCAGTGTTCACAGAGTGGCTTGCATATTTCACTCTGACATCTCACTACCATGTTGTTCAACATGGTAGTGATTAGATAACGCTAAGAATTTTATTTTATTTTTCTTTTTCCTCTTGCTTTCTTCATTTTTCTTTCAGCTTTCTTTTATTTTGTTTTCTTTTTACCCTTTCCTTCCAACCTCTTTCCCTTCCTTTCTTTCTTCCTTCCTTCCTTCCCTTCTTTCTTTTTCTTTCTTTCTTTCCTTCATTCATTTTTTCATTCTTTCTTTCTTTCCTTCCTCCCTTCTTTACTTTCTTTCTTTCTTTCTTCCTTCCTTCCTTTTCTTTCTTTCTCTCTCTCTCTTTCTTCCTTCCTCCCTTTCTTCCTTCCTTCCTTCTTTCCTTCCTTTCTTTCTTTCTCTCTTTCCTTTTCTGGGGTGGTAGTGAAGGGGGATTGGATTGGTTGTTCTCAGAACAGGGAGCTGGAATTGATGCACAGATCAGTAGTGTCCTTGTTGGAGTGGCTGTCACATGAATTTTTTGGAGATCTCTGGAGAAAACAGAAAGAAATTGAAATGGTAAGCTCTAGTTTTTAAATGCATATTAGCTATTATCTGTGCCTTTCACCCTTGCTGTCTTGAATTGACGTCTTCACACCAGATTCTGGGTAACCTGTCAGATCTGAGGGTGGTATGGATATAATAAATATGGACCATCCTTGTATGTCATTTCCTTGGTATTTGCACAAACAAAAATAATTATACAGTTGGTTGCCTGAGGTGAGAGGGAGCAGGCAACTTTGAACTTGGAGAAATATAAGTTTGACATGGAGAGGTTTTTCATAATGTGTTTCCCTCAATTGATATTGAATAAAATAGCCTTGTGAACATTCATGATTTAACCAACTTTTTATTAAGCAGAGTTACTTGTATGAATGTGCAGGATGTTTTTAGCTAATCTTTGCTATAATTCTTTGTAGATGATACTTTTATCTGTCAAAATATTAAATTAGATTTGTGTTATTTTCAAAATGAGCTATGATTAAAAAATAAAAAGAGCTATAATATCTCAGGACCCTTACCAGCATGAATGTGTGTTCCTATTAGCTTATATAAGTTACATACTTTCACTTTAAAAGTGAATTATAATTAATGTTAGCGATAGAGAGTCTGCTTTCAAAGAAAACACTCCAGAAAGAAAAACAAAACAAAACAAAACATATTTTTAATGAGAGAGAGAGGAAATAAAATAATAGAAACAGTTGCTCATAGATAAGCTGCATCTAACAGAATAAATAATCAGTACATTTAAAAAGTCAACAATGGATAAAATGATTTTGAATTAAATTTACATTTTTAGACACATAACTGACAACTTATTTTGAAAAAATGTAAGTGAAATTGTTTTCTGGTTTGCATGTTGTTTTTCTTTTGTGCTCGAAGAGGAAATATTAAGGAAGGTACCTTCAAACTTTAAATGATGAGGCTATCTATAGCATGAAACTGTTAGAAACTCCATTCAGAGATTATCAGAAAGGAAATGATAGATTTTTATGGTGCAACATGACCCAAGATTAAATCCCAAATGACTTTCCTGCTCCCTTCTCTGCTATCAACAGTGGTGTGCAGGGACTTCATATTATACTGCTGTAATCTTTCCAGGGAAGAAAAAAGTTATAATTTTATTCAACTAGGAAAGCTACATTTGTTAGAGAGCTTTGGGTCATTCAGCAAGGAGTATATCTCTCTGAATGTTTTAGTTGCTGTAAGTCTCAGGTATGGTGGCAAAGGTACCAATCTTATAGATGGGATTCAACTTTTTTTAATTGAAGTATAGTTGATTTACAATGTTGTGCCAAATTCTGCTGCGCAGAATTTGTATATATATACACATATAAACATTTTTATATTTTTTCCATTATGGTTTATCACAGGATATTAAATATATTTCCCTGTGGTATACATAAAGACCTTGTTTATTAGATGGGATTCATTTTTTTTAGCCCAGGGAAAGATTATGAGCTAGCAAAGTTTTGGAATACATAAATGCCATACTCCAAGAAGTCTGTGCCAAAGGGGAAATTTTTTTTTAATTATAAAATTTTCTTTGCACTTGTTAACACATGTACTACTCTACCTTGCATGTTTGCAGTAATATTTATGTGAGACAGGAACCATCTATTGTATCTATTCTGTTGGAGCCAGTGTAATATAGTACAGAATATTGTAAAGGTGAATAAATACAAGAGGGACATTGACTCTTCCAAAAAGCTCACTGAATTTCCACCTAGGGATTTTTAGGAATCAATGGACTCAATTATCCCCCTTTGCACTAAGTAACTGAAATTAAAAGGAGAAATAAGCATGCTTTCTGTCTTCCTCTGATAGACACTTTTGGCACCAATCAGATGCTTGAAACCAAACAAGGAATTTAACTCCTTCTTCTGACTCCTACTTAATCCCAGAGGAGAGACCATAGACAGTCCTGTTTCCCTTGCCCATTAAAGTGACGTCCCCAAAGCCTTCCTCTTATGCCGTAGGTCCCAAGAATCAGTTACCAGAACCCTAGTAAGAGAATATGAAATTATCAGAGACAGATTCAAATCTTGTCATTCACAGGAGCAGTGTCGAACATATGAGACTCTTTTATGCTTTGGGAAGTGACAGATCGTCAGTTTGCATTTTACAGTTGAACTGAAGCCCAGAGAGCTGAAGTGAATGGGTTAAGTACCTCTGTGAGTCCATAACAGAGAAAAGGCTGGATCCTAGGTCTTGTGACACTTTGTCCAGTGCTCATTTCATTTTACTGCCTAACAAGGCTTGAGGATTAACAGACACATGCATTATTCATTGAGAAATGTTAAAAGATGTCATTTTGAAATCATTCAAGGACTTCTCAATACCGAGGGCACAATTCAGGTTTCTCCCAAGGGCCCTGATAATGTAACAAACCTTGATTTGCTGGGCTTTACCACTGTTTACTTGCAAGAATAGGAAATGATTATTCCTACTGTGCTGACAGAAAAAAATCCCAAAATGAAAATTGATGTACACTAGGTGCCGTAATATAATACTACCACAGACTTGACCGTGGACTGGATGCTTATGTGCTATATTGAGATCCAGGGCGTAAGTTTGGCAAAGCTGTAAGAGAGAGTATTAAGAAAGTGTCGAGGTCTAGGAGAGTCCAGATTTGAGAAGGGGATCAAGATTACAGGGTATCTGACTTGCAGAAACAGGTATATGGGGCTTAGGATAAACTGTGAGGAAGCTAAATATTGTAATAATTGCTGGTATGTGAATCCCAAAGAGGATGCAGTAGTTAGTGGCTTGACTATCACTAATATTTATCATATAAGAGGGTGATAATCTTATATTTGAAAATTAAAGTGGTCTCTTTTGGTATAGTCATTGGAAGACAATTGTGAGTAGAGCGTGCTTCACAGACATCACTTTCGTTTGCAGCAACAACTGCATTAGCATCAGCCAGATGCAGATAGAGCTCTTGAGAAATAATCAGAAGTGCATGATCTTAACCAAAACCAAGTCTGTATAGACCCTGGATATTTGGGTATGGGCCAAGAAGTTCACTAACTCTGATTACCTAGTAAGGAAACCAAAGTTTACACCATTGGCCATGATCAGTATGTGGGTCACATAGAAGCATGACTTATGTCCAGCACATAAGCCAAGGCTGCCTATTCAGGCTCAGTTGTATCTCAGACAGCATAATTGCTATCTCACTAGGTACCTAAAATATATGCAAATGTCTACCCCAAGTCAAAAGCCCCTCAATTTCTTCCTTAATTATTGACAATCTATTTGTTTCTTCCAAGAGCTTTTGCTCAGTGTTACACTATTTATGGCAGACAATGACAAGGTTTTGTCCACATTCTTAGCAGCAGAAGAAAGGTTTTAATATTGTTATAATTAGTTAGCTAAGATTCTTTTCAGCTTTACTTGGCAGATCAGATTCAGGTATTTCTCAAAAGCTAATGAGATGCTACCAGATATTTCTTAAAAGCTAATGACTTATTTTTATATGATAAAATAATTCTTACAAGTTATTTATAGGATAACAGTACTGATGATGATATACTGTCTGAAGTATTAAATCTTTTTTTAAATGACACAAAGTGACCTATGAATTGAATCTTTAAAACTAAAAATTTGTTATTTTGGGTAGCTACTCTGAAGTGTCTGACCAAATGGTATGCTGGAAAATGAATGACATGTGGAAGATAGACTGATTTATTATTTATCAGATGTGTTCGTTTTTAAAATCCTTTCAATTCTAAAACTGAAAAAGGAAATGTTTTCTTGATGTTTATTATTAAGGTCACTTCAACGGATATAATTAAGCCACCCTGAATACAGATGTAAGACAGTGGCTCCAAACTACAGAAACAATTTCTGTTCTAGATTAACTATAAAACGTTGAAGATCTCTTTCCCTTTCTTCTTCCTGGAAAATTGAAGTTGTTGAAATTAATGAACATTTAGCAACTTGACATATATTGTGCATATTAGAGAATCAAGGATATGCACTAGACTTTCTTGTAAAGAGTCTAAAACGAAAGACTGGTGTTGCCTTTAAACACAATAATATGACAAAGTTAGATAACTTTTATCAAAAATTCTATCAGAGGTACTCTAAGATATGAAGTTATCTTTATACATTCCTCTCGCAGTGGAAACTTGAATGATTATCCAAATAATTGAGTTAATGTCGATAGAGAAAGAATATAACCCGGGTCCAATAAACAAACTTTTCTTTAGTAGGCACAGTGTTGTCCTCTTACTCTTTTTGTCCAATTTACCTGGTTAGCTTAAAATTGTAAGTGTAGAAATAATTTAGAAAATTGTCTGTTTTTGTTTGGCTTAGGTGGTAGGGACCTGCAAAGGGGATTTTTAAATCTATATTTTCCTGCCCCTTATTAATTTTTATAACTAAAGATTTTACTCATTTAATATTCTAAAGATATATTTATTTGGCAGTTTCTTCCCACATTTCCATAATAATTATAGCATTCTGCTTCTATCTTCTTGGGTCCAGCTTTGACTGGGACCTGATTTTGTTCTTGTTTTGTTGTAGTTGTTGCTTAATCTTTTTTTCCTCCCCTTCATTCTAATATTTTTTATCTCTGAAGGTACAACCAGACTTCTCTTTTTTTCTAAGGATGCTAAGCTTAAAGCTAGGTGGTACTAATTTTTAATACTTCATAAAGTTAATTCAGTATAATAAAGGAAATTTCAGTCACTAGACTTAACATTAATCTCTCTGAGAAAGAGCCACTGATGATAGAAATACCTGGTTTTGTTGTCAAAATCAGGCACAGTCCATATCAAGACATCAGGTACAGTAAAATCTTTCCCTCTGAAAGTCTATGACTTCCAAATCTTATCAGGACGAAAAAAACAATTTGTGTTAATTTCACATCAATGGATATAATAAGTTCATCCTGATGATGATATACCTAGCTGAAGCACAATATGAATATGACAGACTGTGAAGTTGTCAGTCTATGTAACCAATCCAGGTTAAGTAGAGAAAATAGAGTTTTGGGCCCTAGTTATCCA